GAAAAATTCAAGATTATGCATAAAAATTCAAAATTATGCAAAATTACTTTAATTTGTAAAAAAAAAAAAAAGACCCCAAAAAACACAAAACAAAACAAAACAAAAAACTAAATATAACACTATCTGAACTTTCTTTAGAAATATATGCAGGTACTTTGTATGGGTGTGTGTGGCATTTGTGGACTGGTGCGGAGTTTGTGGGGGAAGAATGCAAAGGGTGTGTGTGTGTGTGTAGTTTGTAGGTGGGTGAACCCATGAAACCCCACCCTACATCCCCTCCCCCATAGTGCACAGTCCCTGCCACCGCTGGCTCAGCAGCAGCCGGCAGCAGACCCTCAGGCTGCTCATTGCTGTGACAAGCAGAGCCCCCAGTGGCACACGCCTCTGGATGAGTCCCAGGGCCTGCATGTGCTGGCATGGAGTTGGCCCGGCACACTGACATACCTTCGAACCAGACCAGGCTGGCTGTGCCAGCAAGTGGAACTCATGGCACTGCAGGCGAGAGCCACATGCCATCAGGCCAGGCAGTGCTCATGCCTCCATGTGCAGTTTCCCACTGCAGTGCTGGAACCACCACGTGGAGGCACGGAGCTAGCTGGCTTAGCCCAATGGCATATGGACTGGGAGCCACGCACCATTCGGTCAGGTGGGCTCTGTGCCAACACATGGGGCTTCCAGCACTCCAGCAGGAAGCGGCATGTAGAGGCAAGCAGAAGCCCACCCAGCTCGATAAGTGTGCAGTTCTGTGCCTCCATGTACAGCTTCCTGCCTGACCCGATAGCATGCAGCTCCTGGTTCGTGCGCTATGGGCCAGGCCAGCCCTCTACGTGGGGCTTCTAGCACTCCAGCAGGAAGCCGCACAAGGGTGCATGAAGTCACATGCCATCAGGCTAGGCAGGACTTCCTCCTGGAGTCCTGGAAGCCCCATGTGCAGGCAGGAGCTCCCCTCCCCACTTACCCAACTGTCCAGTCGTGCAGTTCTGTGCCTCCACGTCACGGAAATGGGAGGCGCAGAGCCTACCAGAGTTAAATTATGCAAAATTATGCAAAGACATGCCTTTTATGGGCAAAATTGTGTGGGAGGCATAATTACATCATTCCCCATGGTGCATAACTGTATTATTATTGCTTACCTTGAACTGAATAACCTTCCCAACACTCTTAAACTCAGGGAGCACATCTTCATAGAACTCCAAGAACTGCTGGTAGGTTTCCTCCTCACTGTACTCAAGACTTGCATCTGTATCGTAGTCATCTCTTCTACACTGCTCCATCCCAAAGGTAATAAACATACCTCTAATGAGAAGTGTCTGACTAGATGTTGGGTAGTTATGTTTGCGGGAACACCTAAACATTTTCGGTTAAAAAAATAAACCCAAAAAACAAAAAAAAACAAAATACAATTAGACTTTCAGCAAAAGCTACACCTGCAAAACTGCAAACATCTTTTATTCCTAGATCCAGCAACAGCTCTGAATTACAAGAAAATATTTTTTTTAAATGGGACCCAATCCAGACTAGCCCCAAAGCCAGCGCTCAAGACTGGTATGAAGGGGCGCCCAATGCAGCATGTGCCCCATGCACTACACGCAGAGCAGGACTGGCATATGCTGCACATGGCACAGGGTGCTAGCATTGGGCACACACTGCATGCAGTGCTGTGCAAAACTGGCACTGTACACTGGCTCTAGCATGGCCCAGTCCAGCTCAGCAACCCTCACTGGCTACTATTCTTGAAGGAAAATGTTCAGTTTAAGTCTCTTACAGAATTAACACTAGGGCTCTTGTAAGGTATGAAGTCCCCATTCTCCTTTAGACAATTAGATACTTTCTAATATTACTTTCTTCGTACTCGAAAGGAAATTCAGCCCCTAGTCCTATGGCTATGGGAATGCAAAATTTTACAAATGACTGCACTAAAAATCAGACTTCCCTGTTACTGGCTGTAAAGGGAAAAATAGATTGTGTGTGTTGATGTTCATCTTTAAACTGTTCTCAGATGCTGCAACACAGGGCTCAACCAAAACAGCCTAAAATTCAATAAAACACCCTGGCTTGTTTCTGCACAAGAAAAGGACTTTACTCTGTTTTAAAGCCATGGGTTCAAATGACCACCTATATTTTACTCAGGTTACCTAGTCAAGAACTCGCCAAACTGTAGTGGTGCTATATTGGGCAGCATAGCACTGACAAGATGAACTAAAATACATTGCACTCAAATTGTTACCTTTGCAAAACCAAATAGAAAAACAGAAATCACAATATAGGGAAAGCTTATTATAAATAAAGTAGGCAGATCTGTTCAAGGTATAGGCATGTAATTATTACACCTATCACACCAGCAAACCTATCTAGTTTAGTACCTTATCTAAACGCTTTATTGGAAGGCCCAAACCCTGTAAAGGATAACAGCAGATTAGTCTACCCATCTGAAAATTTCTTCCCAATCCCAAGCAGTTTGTTATTGACTTATACACTAGGGCAGGAGAATTGATAAATGATCTACTGTAAAAGCATACGGAAAACAAATAAGTCTGTCCCAATACGCTCTAAAAACACAAGATCTAGATAGCAAATTCTACAGGTTGCTATGTTTGTTGCCTTTCCATTGATGTGACAGCATAAAGCAGAACATCCCACTGGCCTCTTATGTACTATATTCATTTTGTATTTATATCGTGTCTGTCAAAAGAGGTCCAAGAAAAGGCAATAAAAGTGTAATTCAAGGCATATTAAGGTTTCAGAGGGAATTGGTAAAAATTTAGATGAGAACCAGGCAGCTTTATTTTCCTTGTCTCTTAATACAAAAAGAAAGCAATTTCCAGGTAGCAGCTTAAATGTTAAAAATCATGTTTGTACAATCCATAATAAACTCAGAACCTGTTATGACAAAAAGCTCTGGATTATAAAGGCTTGAAAAACTGTTAATTGATTAGTAAAACTATCATCTACAGTTGAAAGAGTTCAAGTAAGGAGACATGAGTAACAGGGACTCTCCAGTTTCAGAATTTAGCTACTGTTGAGCATCAGAAGAAACTGTGCCAGATAAATCATCATCACCCAATTGTCCATAATTGAATATGTTGTATATCTCTCTAAAACATCCAATACAGAGAAAGGATATTTGATTAAACAGACTTTGTGGTTCTCAATGACTATATAAACAGTTAAAAAGTATTTGAAAGTCACAACTAATTGACACTACATACTACCTTGCTTTTGTAATCCTCTATTTGGAGTACAATGTATGCATATTAACTGGGGAAGGGAGGAGAAGGAAGACAGCTTCCGATCTGTTTCCTCAGAGCTGCAACAACAGCAACTAGATGTAGTGTGATCAAAAAATTATCAGTGCCAGTGCTTCTGCTGAATCAAAGTGAGTTAGATCAAAGTGAGAACAATAATGTACTATTAGTAGTTCTAATAAAAAACAATAAAAAATAGCCCAATGTTGAAAATATATTAATGTTCGTGTTTGTATACAAAAAAGAATCCAATCCAAAAATAGTAAGCAAATAATTTGATCACAAACCCATAAGACATCCTGAACAACCCGATTCCCCAAATGACATGATTCAATCGATATTCAAGCAGTTACCTGTCTCCAAATCTGCAGGCTCCTGTTTTAATATAGAAGGGGCAATTAGCTCTATCTTTCTCTGTTCCTATGTTCTCTGGGGGTTCTGGATTATGCCATGTAGCACCATTTTCCAACTGCATAAAAACACCATGAAATACAATTACTTCAACAAAGCAAAAAACAGTAAAAAGCCAAGAATTCCAATTCAGTCCTTAGGTATTTTTAAATGATCACCTTTGACACAAAAAAGCAAGCTAGAACCAAGGATCTGAAATGCCACTGTATTAAAATTCAAACACTTCCAATCTAGCTGAAGAGGGCTCTTCTTGATAACTCATGAAAATGACTTCTGAAACTCTCAAAATTATGCCAAGATATGCCAAGACTGCCAATGTAATATTCAAACTTGCTAGAGTCAAGGATGGTTTAAGTCTTTACAATAATAGGCAATTATAAATATCTGGCCTGTGCATCTGATTTTTATCCTTGAAGAAGCTACAAAAACAGACCTTTCTGGAATTTGGATGGATGTGCTGCACTAACATAGTGAGCCGTGAGACCCTTCCAACATAGCTGAATCCTCAAGGAACAGAGCTGGATCAATATGCAGTAATCCCAGGTTCAAGAAACTAAAACAAGGGCTAATGCCACTTCTGCACGCTCCACTCCCATGCTGCAAAGAATGCATTTTTGGCAGGAACAAGACTGGAACCTTGAAAATTTTCCTCACAACTGCCATGTAAAATATATAAATAAGTACCATGTACATAGGAAAAGTGACATGAGGGGAAAAGTGAAGGTAAGGTAACTGTAAAGCAACTGTACAAAAAGGGTATGCCAAATTAAAACTCAGGAATTTCCAAATCCTAGTCTCAGGATTGAGATTTTTGAAATTCAGTAAGTAAGTTGGGAGCATTTTTGACAAGAGGCAAAGCTGGAACCGCACTTAAAAAGAATATCACTACTTTGATTAACCAGGCAATTTGGAAAGGTTGAGAAAGCAATACTCCTCACATTACATAAACTAAATATTTCAGTAATTTGCCACTGGCGCTTAAGCCATGGTTAGCAATGAGTGCCACTTTTTTTATGGTAAAATACTATTGGTGGTTTCATCAGTGGTGAAACTGATCAACCGAACCCTTTATATTTTTTAATGTAAAACTTATACACCATGTTTTACATATCAAAAATGGCTACACATATTTTGAGCTTCACATGATGACAACAGTCAAAGCAGTTTTCCATCCAGATTTCGCTATCATAAATTGAGCCCTCCTGCTAAATGTAATTAAGAATCCAATACTAGCTCTATTAGAGTAACAGCAGTTGACCAAAAATAGCTAGCTATAATGGAGTTTAATGTTCAGAACTATTCAACAGTTTATTCAGAGCAAGAACCTTTCAAAGATAACTGCTGGGCTAAGTTAAAAATAAGTTAAGTTTTCTTTAAAGACAGGGAAAGGCTGAATGCAGGTATCATGGTTTTCTTACTGTTTGGCTATTTTGAGATCTATGCTTCTTTACACACGCAAGAAGCTCTCGCCCTATTTTAGGATCTGTGTTTTCTCCTGATTCAGAGCACATTTATTCAAAAACTTACTATCTGCTAAAAAAGGAAGTGACCTGCCAGGCAGAAAAAATAACAGATTTATGTAGTATATTCAGTCACAAATACATAGTCCTAGCTTGTCTCCAGTGACAAAAATAGCAAAATCCTAGAGTCATTCTATATAGAAGTCTCCTATGCAACAAGCACTTAGAGCTGCAATTCTATCAAAAGGCCAGAAATCTGTTTAATTCTCTTTCAGCTAATAGATGCATTGTTTATGGCTAAAAGAAACCATTTAACCATGTTAAATTTAGACAGTCACTAGCTTTTTCAGAGCAGATGGACAGCTTGTTAAGAGACAAAAAACAGACAGTAACAAAGTCACTTTAGTTCTTTATTGGAAAGTCTCTGAACATACCTGACTTTCAGCTTGGTCCAGCATCTTCTGCACAGCTTCCTACAAATGGTGCAAACACAGGACTAGTGAAAACCCTGAAGACAGGTAACTCATCTGGTTTCTTTAGTTAAGAACCTAACTGGCAACATTTAATGATCATACAACTTGGCAGTTTACTTATAAAACTGAACATTTAATTGTTTACTTTGTGGTACCTCACACTTTTGCACTTAAAGGATACATTTTAGATGACTTCCAAGCAAGAGTTTTCTAATATCTAAACATTAGAGCACTTTAAAAAGCTACATTTGAAACAAGCAGTGTTTTCTCTTTTTGCTGTCACTGAACTATGCTATTTTACACACTTAGACTTCCCTGGTACAAGGTTTTATAAGTAGGTATAAAGCTGAACTGGAATGGACAAGCCAAGAAAAGTGGCCATTCAAGTTTAAACTACATTGTCAATACTAATAAATACTGTAGACATTAAATTCTGGCTTTTCCTAGCTGCTTCTCTCACATTTTGGCTTTGCCTAGCTTCCTATCTGCTCATATGGATGCTGCCATTCTTACATCCACAGTACAGCCTACCCATTTGACCAAACACCTGTCCACAGGATACCAGACAGGGCTAATAGAACACATTGTTAGCTAGTAATTCATTCATGTATGCTACTCAACAAAATAAATTTGCATTCCCCTTAATTTTAAGCACAACACACTATTCCTGCTTGCTGGGTCTCTTCCCTACTCTCTACTAGCTTGGGGAATTCGCAGCTAACACGCCTTTTCCATCACTTGCTACTCCTTTACTTCACATTTCATTCTTCCTGTTCTACATTTCAGTCTCTCCCATCTTCACCTTGTAGGTTTTGTGACAGCTGTAGTAAAACATCATAGAAACTCTCACTCCAGGGAATGCTTTTGTAGTCAGTCAACATAGCACACAAATCCCACTGGAACAAAGGATAGAGTTCTGCCCTAGCATATTAAATGCTGACTACTAAACCATGTCCAACCAACCCTCTTAGTTCCTTCTATTACCTTAATTCTTTCCATTAATTTGCATTACACTCCTTCCATCTTTCTTGTCCCTTTGCTTCTCTCTCACTTTATTTTTCCAGTTGCCCTTGACCCAGATGATTATGTTTGTACCTTGGTATCCCTTCCTCAGTTGAACCAGAAGGAGACTGATCTTGCCTGTCAGTACTACTCCCCTTCTTTTACTGAAGGTGTAACAACATAACTAGCCTGTTCCACTATTAAATTCAAATGTGAAAATTGCTTGCTCGTTTCTGCCTCCCTGCTGGCATTACTTAGAGCAAAACGAGTATTGGATCATTACTTAGAGCAAAACGAGTATTGGATCATGCTTTACCTCTGGTAAAGCAGCTGAGAGTGAAACTGACTAGAATTTAATCAGTTTCCACCTTTTGCTGCTAAAAAAGCTGAAATGAAAGAGAGAGACTCTAAAAAGTTGCTACCACCTTCCCCTCCATGAGAAGAAAGGGTCAGCCCTAACTTTGTTGCTTTGTAGGAAGAAATTCAGGACAGATCTTTGTCTAATCTAGGCAGATCCTCTAGCATTCTTTATGTAACTGTACAACTAATAGCAATTTTCCACACTATTTTCTTCCATACCCAAGAATTTATGAAAAAAGATACATCCTGATGAATGAGCCAGGTAAAGAGGAGCTGTAACATCTTTTGATTAAGAACACTGTTAAGGAACAGCAGCAATACAATTCTAGATCAGCACCAGGAACTTCCTTAAAAATAATTATACTAAGTTTGTTCAGATGTCTTATAGGGAACACTTGGCAATACTAAGATAAATTAGTCTTTAATATATCACATGGGAAGTGCACTCATGAAAAATAGCGCTGACAATAGACCTTCATATTTGTCTGATGTAAATAATTACATAAGAGATAATTAGCTGTACATTGCTACACAAACTAAAAGACTAATCTTACAGTAAATTAATTATCTTCTCCAGTATCATGGATTCAGATTACACTATTATGAATCCAAGATATATTTTCAGGTCTCAGAAATAATTTGTTAATGAGAAATAAACAAATGGGGACTGCAAATAATTAGCAGATGCAAAAAGGCTAACTGGATTTTGACTTTGGTACACAATTGCAGATTGTAACATCCGGTACTGTGAGAGGATATGCAGTGTGTTTATCCTCCCAGTGCAGGAATCACCTCTCTCTCTCTTTTCTCCTGTTGTTTCTGCTCCTTCTCTTCTTTCTCTTTCCTCTGCTGTTCTTCCCATTCTTCTCTGATCTTTCGCTTCATAAAAAAAAAAAAAAGAGTGCTTATTTTCTTGTTAAAAGATTAAATAAATAAATACTTTATGAAGTCTTTCAAAAAACATAATCTTGTAAATGAATGAGAAGACAACAGTTAAATCCAAAACCATCAACTCTGTTATGTGCTGAAACTCTTGCTTTTAGTGTTCAGATATATAAAGGAAATCCAAAACTTTGCGTACTTTTTTTAAAGATCAATATTAAAAAAAAGAGAGATTACAAATTAAAAAAAATCTACTTCAAGAATGCTCTGTCTGCTCCAGTACCAAAACAGATATTAACAATTTCCCTTGGCTTTGGGTGACACTATGGCACACTTAAAAATGGTCTTCAATTTATATTTCACCTCCTCCTCTTCTTGACGTCTTCTTGCTGCCTCTTCCTTTTCCTTCTTGATCTTAAACTCTTCTTGAGCCTTTTCTTCTCTCAACAACCACTCCTCATGTAGTTTTTGCCTACCAATAACATTGGAAGCTAGTTATCAAAATTAATGTCTATAAATAATTTACACATTTTATCTATCATGCAAAATAGGTTTACTAAACTTGCTTTTACTCCTTTGAAGCAGAATATTAAAAAAAACCCCTCTCAATGTATTTCCCCAAACATATAATTTTTCAATGCTGAAGTGCAATCTTCATTCTAGAAAAATACAGAATTTGACCAATGCTTATTCTGTTGCCAGATTACATGTTTTTTGGATACTCCCAATTCCGATGTTATTTCTATACAGGATTAAATATAAGATGGCCAATTTGCATGTTATCCAACAGCTAGCCATATGTTCTCACAAACACCCAAACTTAATTTAAACTTTCTAGTTCAATGATAATGGTTAAAATATTGCATATAAAGTTGCTACACAACAGCTTTTAGTGTAATGTACTATAGTGTAGAATTCACTTTGGGCAAAAATTGTCACTTCTGTCTGCACCCTATCGGGCCACAGAAAGCAGTTTACAGCTGTAACCAAGCACAAGTGCACAACTGCAAACAGCTTAAAAATAGCCAATCAGATGAAAATCTCATTGCTTGAGGTATCAGATAAAGAGATTTCAAAATGTAGCATCTTTTGTAACTCATGTCTGGATAGTTCCCACCCTGCTGCTGTTTTCAGAATGGGAGGATGGGAAAAGGAGCAGAGGGAGTTCAGTCTAAGGGATTTTCAGCCCTGACAGAGGGTGAGGTGGAAGTATTGGAGCCTCCCTGAAGTGGGGAGGGCTCCAATTTACCCACCCCACCCTTCACCACCAGCTGAGCCCCAAGGATGAGCTCCCTCTGTTACCAATAGGATTCTTTCTGCCAGAGACCCCCAAGGATTGACACGGCTCCTCATCCAATTTGGTATCAAGTGAACTTTAATAGTAACCCCTAAGCAGGTTTCCTCCCTGTAATATGACCTGGCAAGTGGCTCCTTTAGACATTACAGCAACAACCTTTAGTGGTACCAGCTTCGTCTCCTCTGCTGAGTGTGTGGAATGTTTGTTCCTGACTTTTTAGCTATTTGAGTGAAAAGTCCATGGCTACCCGTCTCCCCAGAGTAACAGCACAAACACATGCTTTCCCCATTGTTTGTCCATCACTTTTTGTAACTTTCCCATCCCAAATTGTTTAATCCTCAGGTTCCATGCCTTATCCTTTTAAATCAAGTACTCCAATTCTACTCAGTTTTTAGTTTAATTTCCTTTTACGGAACCTGCTGTAGCTGGTTTGCCCACCGTACCAATCAGAGCACTTACTTTTTCCACTGCCTTATAAGGCACTTTGTACAATTTTATTGGTTTGTTCTGGGAAGGCCTAGACCAGAGGTCAGCAACCCCCGGCACGCATGCCGAGCATGGCACACAAGGCCATTTTCCTCACCATGCACTGGGGCCGGGGAGGCAGCAGCTGTTTGCAGCCTCCCGGCTGCAGCCACCCCAGCTCTGGGTAGCTGTAGCCAGCCAGGAGCCTGGGCTGCTCCCAGCAGGCAGCTGGGACGCTGCAAGCCCTGCTGGGAGCAGCCCAGGCTCCATGGCTATCAGCAGCTACCCAGAGCTGGGGCCGGCTGCAAATATC